CATAGAATTTAGCTTTGAAATAGCTGAGTGATTAGCTTGTGACTGGTCACAGAAATGGCTATGTTAAAGTCAAAGCATCCACATCCACAGAGGCACCCCTTGACAAAGGAATTAGCATAGAATTTAGCATTGAAATAGCTGAGTGATTAGCTTGTGACTGGTCACAGAAATAGCCATGTTAAAGTCAAAGCATACACATCCACAGAGGCACCCCTTGACAAAGGAATTGTCAAGGGGTGCATACACATCCACAGAGGCACCCCTTGACAATTCCTTTGTCAAGGGGTGCCTCTGTGGATGTATATGCTTTGACTTTAACGTAGCCATTTCTGTGACCAGTCACAAGCTAATCACTCAGCCATTTCAATGCTAAATTCTATGCTACTTCCTTTGTCAAGGCGCTCTGTTTCTTCGCACACAGCTTAAAGGTCGCGGTCTGAGCTTGGCTGTGTTCGCTCCAGCGCTGTCCTCCAGACAGTCTCGTCCCTTCACCTGATGAAGGCCGATTGTGCTGTGGCCGAAACGTCGTGATAATTTGTATTGCGTTATTTTATTTTATAAATTTATTATTTTATTCTCATTCTACGTGGTGACTTTACCGAAAGAACCAGAGAAGACAACAATATGTAGTTTTCATGTTCACCACACGTAAGCGTGGTTCACGCAGTACACGATTTCTTGCAAACGGTTTCAGTTTTTGGGTGTTTTAACGTCTTAAACGCAACTGTTTTATTGCCATAAAGCAGGGGTATGGAACCTTTTTTTTTTTACTGCCAAGGGCCATTTGGATATTGATATAACATCATTCGCGGGCCATACAAAATCATCAACTTAAAAAAAATTAGCCCGTTACATTTGGTCAAACGTTTTAATTGACTCGCCCCTAACGCGATGGGCTCGAACCGCTTCTCTTCGGCGAGGCGTGGTGGCGATGTTAGCCGGTGTTGGCGACGTTTCTGCTACTCACAGCCGCTTTTCCAGGTTTCCGCTCCTAGATTTATTGAATTCCGAGTCTCGCCTGCGATTGCCTTGGCAGGGGCCAGAGACGCAAATTATTTCGCGGGCCTCATACGGCACGCGGGGCCCGTGATTCCCACACCCCTGCCCTTTAAGGAAGCTGTCTCTGCTGTAAGACCAATCGGTTTCAACGACAATGCATCATCATATACCACCAGAGCGTGTTGCTTGTTTACATGTTCACCACAAGAATGGGTGGTTTCACGCAGACATGATTCCTTGCGGGAAAGAAAAAAAAAACACAAACTTTCTGTTTGCCGTGTTAACATCTTAACACGACTGTTTTAATGCCACGAAGGGCGAAACGAATTCTTACAATCGCAGGTAACTTGGCTCGATTGAAAAACTTAGCCTGAGCACAGCTTTTTATTGCGTGTTCAATGCTGCCCTTCCCTTCCCCCGCATCTCCGCTTTGCGAACGAAGTTCAACATACATACACTACGCTATACACCGCTACGTACTACACTACTTTACAACGCCATTATAAACTACACTACTATACCATACACGACACTACTGTACACTATTGAACAACCAAATTATCAGTTTCCTGTCCGCCAACAATCTACCACATAGGAATAGGTTTTACCCTTTTAACTGGCACAAAAACTGACACCTTTATTCAAGGCATCATGTTTGCAATAACCACAACACAAGCAGTAAAAATGCAAACATGATGCCTTGAATAAAGGTGTCAGTTTTTGTGCCAGTTAAAAGGGTAAAACCTATTCCTATATCTTGTTTCTGGCAAAGGAGGTCTCATAATGTAAATCTACCACATATTCTTAGCTCTTTCGGTAAAGTCACGTTGAAGGGAACCAATAAAATAATATATATAACAATACAATTTTCACGACGTTTCGACCATAACACAAACGGTCATCATCAGGTGTGAAAACCGTCGAAACGTCGTGAGAATTTTATTGTTTTATATATATTTTATTTTTTTATTGTTTCCCTTCAACGTGACTTTTCCGAAAAAGCTAAGAATATGAATTACTGCAGTCGCGAAAGCTTTAAATCAAAATCTACCACGTCTAAAACAATCTGGTTTCCGAAAACTCAGTAAAATGGTTACAAAATTACCTCTTTTCTCGCACCCAAACTGTATTCACAGATGGTTGGAGGTCAAACAGTGTTAAGATAACAAAAGGGGTTCCACAGGGTTCCATCCTCGGCCCCCTCTTGTTCTCTCTTTATGTCAATGACTTGGGCACTGACCTGGATCATTCCAGGGTAAATCTTTTTGCAGATGACACGATACTGATTACTGCTGGCCGCTCTCCGGATGACGTGATTGCAAAGCTCCAGGGTGATTTCAACAAACTACAACATCAGCTAGTTGCTCTTAAACTAGTCCTGCATACCTCCAAAACCAAAGTGCAATGCTTCTCACCAGGACTAAGGCAGGAAGTTATTTTTCCCCAATAACATTCCTTAAATAATTATCACATAGAGCAAGTCAAGATCTATAAGTATCTTGGGGTGATCCTGGATTCAAAACTGAATTTTGAAGATCACATTGATTATATTGGTAAAAAGACAAAAATAAAAATTGGTTTTCTGTATCGACACAAGCACTGCTTTCCCCCTATGTTCCGTTTGGAATTGATAAAGGCTACCATACTGCCTCTACTTGATTACTGTGACATCGTGTATAAATCAGACCCAAGTACTGTACTGAAGAAGCTTGATTCCATCTATCACTCGGCCTTAAGATTTGCATTGAACTGCCAATATAGGACTCGCCACTGTGATCTCTACATTGGGTCAAACTTAACATCTCTTAATGTTCCGACGGCTTGTGCACCAGATCTTATTTATTCACGATGTACTTACAAAAAATCCGCAGACTACCTGCTGGTTCTCCGCTCTGTTTCAAAGAACAAATTTGACCTAAGGTCTTCGCTCATCTACAAGCTTCACATTCCCTATTGCCGTACAAATACTGGAGGAAGGGCCTTTGCTATTGATGCCCCCAGGGTCTGGAATGCTATTGCCAATAAATTGCAACTTGAATCACTACTTATGAGATCTTCACTCAAAACTGCTCTAGAGGATTTGTACACCCCTAGCTGCCACTGCTATTCAGTGGCCTAAAATAAAATAAAATGTTTCGCTCCGGATGACCGCTGCAAAGTATTATCTTGTATTTTGATTTAGCGTGCTGATCTTAAAGGTGCATTGAAAAATTTGATACTCCGGCCGATGCTTCTGTTCTTGTGGAGTGACTCATGCAGCCAGCAATGGCTGCAGGGTTTGGTGGTACATGTTGTTTATGTCGTTTATTGTGAAAATTCGGTCCCAGTTCCTATGATCACTGTTACATTTGCTTTTATGGCTTTATTTTGGTGATGTCGAAAGTTTTTTTGGTTTGGACATGTTTGTTTTGTTGTAGTACGGAGTTAGACTGATGGCCTTAATCTAACTTGTCTTGTGGTGGTTGTTGTTATTTGACTTGCATCCCACTGGGATTTTTGCACACAGCGTTGGTGGTGTACGGTGCTTTTTCTGGAATATTTTGCTGGTTTTTTTTTTCCAGGATTTTCTGTTTTGCCCAGTCACACATAGTCACTTTAAGATGTTTTTCCTGTTCGTGTTTTTTTTTTATTTCTTGCGGTTTCACCCGAGTCAAGAGCCGAATGGCTCACAGGGCTATACCGAAAATAAATTAAACTGAAATGAAAACTGAAACGACTATATGGTACACTACTTGACACTACACTATACAATACACGATAAACTACACCACGATACTAATTAGAAAACTCACTTCTTTAGAACTGCTTGTTGTTGTGTTTAGTTATTTGTCCCCACCCCCCATCTCCGATTTGCACGGTTCGTTACGAAGGGTGCGATGGAAGTTCAACATACATACACTACACTATATACTACTAGCTTGACAACCCAGCTTCGCCCGGGACTTAGATTATTGTCTTGGATTAACACATGGCCTACGCGGAGGGTGGGCCGGGGGGGGGATGCGTGACGTCAGCAGGCACACTGCGTGACGTCAGCAGGCATACTGCGTGACGCTGCCGCATGCGGGTGACATCACAGATGTGACGTCACCGCTCAGTTGCCATGCCAAATATATCCATTATAAAATACAAAAGTATGTTTTTTTATACTTTTTGCATTGTGTACAGTCTGGAAGCTTCCCACATGCCAAATTTCAAGTTTGTTGCATGTTGGGAAGTATGCTAAACATTTTGAACAGAAACACATTTACAATTGTCCCTATCATATTTATACTACGCTATTTTACACTACGCTATGCACTACACTATACACTACACTACTATACACGACACTACCATACACTACTATATGCTACGCTACTTTACACTACACTATACACTACACTACCGTACATTACACTATACACTGCACTATACACTACACCACGATAATAAATTGAAAACGAATTTCTTTAGAAGCGCTTGTTGTTGATGTTGTTGTGTTTAGTTTGTTGTCCGTCCCCCTCCCCCCCGCCCACGCACATCCGATTACGTGGGGTGCGAAATAATTTCAACAGACAAACAAAGCACAATAACTCTATAGCGTTGCAAATTAATACTGAAGAAGAATCGAAATTACAAATCACTCAGAACCTTAAAGCACTCCTTTTTGCATTTTTTCAGGCTCAGGCGGAGAGTCGTTGTCTTCCGGAGAGGACGCGGAGAGTTGGCGGAGAGTTGGCGGAGAGTTGGCGAAGAGTTGGCGGAGAGTTGCCGGAGAGGACGTGGAGAGTTGAAAGGCGTTTGAGGCTAACGGAGGGTTGCGGGGAGAGTGACCGGAGCGTTGAGGGTGGCGGAAAGGAGAGTAAGACGGAGGAAGGGAAGAGTTTCCGGAAGAGTTTCCGGGAGAGTTGCTGCGGTGAGTTGCTGGAGAGTTGCGGGGAGAGTTTCCGGAGAGTTGCGGGGAGTTTCCGGAGAGTTGCGGGGAGAGTTTTTGGAGAGTTTCCGAAGAGTTGCGGAGAGAGTTTCCGGAGAGTTGCGGGGAGAGTTTCCGGAGAGTTGCGGAGAGTTGCTGCGGGGAGTTGCCGGGGAGTTCCCGAAGAGTGGAATCCCGACAATGGCATCACTGACTGCATGTCGCGTGGCCTCGGTGCTGTTGGTGATCATCAGCAGCAGCAGCATCAGCAGCAGCGCGTCCGGGGTGACCTCGCTGGGCGCGGACGATGCCCTGCCGATGGGAATTTTCTCAGGTATGGAAGGCCGGCGGAGTTCGTGCGTGTGTGTGTGCCTGTGTGTGTGTGTGTGTGCCTGTGTGTGTGGGCCTGTGTGTGTGTGCCTTTGTGTGTGTACCTGTGTGTGTGTACCTGTGTGTGTGTGTGTGCCTGTGTGTGTGGGCCTGTGTGTGTGTACCTGTGTGTGTGTACCTGTGTGTGTAGGGCTGTGTGTGTGTACCTGTGTGTGTGTGTGTGCCTGTGTGTGTGTGGGCCTGTGTGTGTGGGCCTGTGTGTGTGTGCCTTTGTGTGTGTGCCTGTGTGTGTGGGCCTGTGTGTGTGTGCCTTTGTGTGTGTACCTGAGTGTGTGGGCCTGTGTGTGTGTGCCTGTGTGTGTGGGCCTGTGTGTGTGGGCCTGTGTGTGTGTGCCTGTGTGTGTGTACCTGTGTGTGTGTACCTGTGTGTGTGTGCCTTTGTGTGTGTACCTGAGTGTGTGGGCCTGTGTGTGTGTGCCTGTGTGTGGCCCTGTGTGTGTGTACCTGTGTGTGTGTGTACCTGTGTGTGTGTGCCTGTGTGTGTGGGCCTGTGTGTGTGGGCCTGTGTGTGTGGGCCTGTGTGTGTGTGGGCTGTGTGTGTGTGCCTGTGTGTGTGGGCCTGTGTGTGTGCACCTGAGTGTGTGTGCCTGTGTATGTGTGCCTGTGTGTGTGTGGGCTGTGTGTGTGTACCTGTGTGTGTGTGTGCCTGTGTGTGTGTGTGCCTGTGTGTGTGTGCCTGTGTGTGCGTGCCTGTGTGTGTGTGTGTGCCTGTGTGTGTGGGCCTGTGTGTGTGCCTGTGTGTGTGTGCCTGTGTGTGTGGGCCTGTGTGTGTGGGTTCGATTCCCGCTCACGGCCAACACCAGTGACGATTATCTGAACCGGTCCCGGGCCTCCCCTAGGTCGACTCAGCCTCAAATGAGTACCTGGTGCGGTGGATAAAAACATTGCCACTGGGGAGACAAAGGCGGTCGGGCGTGGTGCTGGCCACCCACCCCCTCGTGTACCGTTCCGGCCTTCATAGGTGCTCGCTAACAGCACTTGCCCCTACAGTCTGTTAAGGCTATACGGGGGATCTTTGTCTTTCTGTAACTGCGTGTGTACCTGTAGCGGCTGGCGCTACGCTGCGCTACGAACCGTGCGGAGCCGAGTTCGATTCCCGCTCACGGTCAACACACAGTGACGATTATCTGAACCGGTTCTGGGCCTCCCCCAGGTCGACTCAGCCTCAAATGAGAGCGTGGTGTATTTTTTTTAACAAATAAAGTATATCTATTTATTTATTTATTTTTGATGTTGTCCTTTTGCCGAGACGGTGCAGTCCCTGCTGGGGTCACGTGTTGTTGTTGAAGCTGCTGCCGCTGTTGTTGTTGTTTGGAGCGATCGTCCGACGTTTCGGGTCCACACGCTCTCCGAGGAAGCTTCCAAGCGCGTCTTCGACTCGCGCGAAATCGTTCACCCTCGCGATGAAGGGCAGCAGAAGTGTGGGGGGAGGGAGGGGGGGGGTGGAGCGGGCGGGGGGGGGAGGGGTGTCCCCCCAAGATGGGCAGGGAGGAGGGCACGGCTCAAGAAAGGCAGCAGCAGCAGCAGCAGGTGGACGAAGAAACGAGGAGGGGGAGCAGTGGGGCAGCAAGGGGAGGGAGGGGGGGAGGGAGGGAGGTGAGGGAGGGAGGGGGGGGAGGGAGGGAGGGAGGTGAGGGAGGTGAGGGAGGGGGGGGAGGGAGGGAGGGAGGTGAGGGAGGGAGGGAGGGGGTAGGGAGGGAGGTGAGGGAGGGAGGGGGGGGAGGGAGGGAGGGAGGTGAGGGAGGGAGGGAGGTGAGGGAGGGAGGGAGGGGGGGGAGGGAGGGAGGGAGGGAGGGAGGGAGGGGGGAGGGAGGGAGGGAGGGAGGGAGGGAGATGATGATGAGAGGGTGATGATGATGATGATGAGAGGGTGATGATGATGATGAGAGGGTGATGATGATGAGAGGGTGATGATGATGCTGAGAGGGTGATGATGATGTGGATGATGAGAGGGTGATGATGATGAGAGGGTGATGATGATGCTGAGAGGGTGATGATGATGATGAGAGGGTGATGATGATGATGAGAAGGTGATGATGCTGATGAGAGGGTGATGATGAGAGGGTGATGATGATGATGATGAGAGGGTGATGATGATGATGATGAGAAGGTGATGATGATGATGATGAGAGGGTGATGATGATGATGAGAAGGTGATGATGATGATGACGAGAGGGTGATGATGACGATGATGATGAGAGGGTGATGATGATGAGAGGGTGATGATGATGATGATGAGAAGGTGATGATGATGATGAGAGGGTGATGATGATGATGACGAGAGGGTGATGATGACGATGATGATGATATTAGCGAGGGAGAGGGAGCATCGGGAAGGAAGCAGCGAGCCAATGGGAGCTGCGAGGAGGAGGAGGAGGAGTAGTGGAGTCTGTTTCCACAGTGGGCGGCGGCCCAGCAGAGGCGAGGTTTGCTCAGAGCGGGAGCGTGTCCGCTAACCGGTTACACACCAGGCAGCCCGAGGTGAACAACTACTGGTGTAGTGTATAGTGTAGTGCATAGTGTAGTGTATAGTGTAGTGTAGTGTATAGTGTAGTGTATAGTGTAGTGCATAGTGTAGTGTAGTGTATAGTGTAGTGTATAGTGTAGTGTATAGCGTAGTGCATAGTGTAGTGTATAGTGTGGTGTATAGTGTAGTTTATAGTGTAGTGTATAGTGTAGTGCATAGTGTAGTGTAGTGTATACTGTCGTGTATAGTGTAGTGTATAGTGTAGTGCATAGTGTAGTGTAGTGTATAGTGTTGTGTATAGTGTAGTGTATAGTGTAGTGTATAGTGTAGTAGTGTATAGTGTAGTAGTGTATAGTGTAGTAGTGTATAGTGTAGTGTATAGTGTAGTAGTGTATAGTGTAGTGTAGTGTATAGTGTAAAGTGTAGTGTATAGTGTAGTGCGTAGTGTAGTGTATAGTGTAGTGTATAGTGTAGTGCATAGTGTAGTGTATACTGTAGTGTGTAGTGTAGTGTATAGTATATTGTGTAGTGTAGTGTATAGTGCAGTGTATAGTGTAGTGCATAGTTTAGTGTACAGTGTAGTGCGTAGTGTACTGCGTAGTGTAGTGCGTAGTGTAGAGTAGTGTATAGTGTAGTGCATAGTATAGTGTAGTGTATAGTGTAGTGTATCATGTAGTGCAAAGTGTAGTGTATAGTGTAGTGTAGTGTGTAATGTAGTGTATAGTGTAGTGTAGTGCATAGAGTATAGTGCATAGTGTAGTGTATATTGTAGTGTATAGTGTAGTGCAAAATGTAGTCACTACATTTTGCACTACACTATACACTACAATATACACTACATTGTAGTGTATAGTGTAGTGTAGTGTGTAATGTAGTGTATAGTGTAATGTGTAGTGTATAGTGTAGTGTGTTGTGTAGTGTATAGTGTGGTGTGTAGTGTATAGTGTAGTGCATAGTGTAGTGTGTAGTGTAATGTGTAGTGTAGAGTGGAGTGTGTATACACTACACTATACACTACACTATACACTACACACTATACACTACACCAGCAGTTGTTCATCTGGGGTGCATCACGCCCTTTCTCAGGCTCGCGCGGCGCATGGCCTGGATGATGTTCGTGACCAATGTTTGGTTCCTCGAGCAGACAAACGAAGGAGGGCCTCACGTGAGTACGAAAACTTACTCCGTTTCACCAGAGCCTCCCGTGTATTTATTAACATCGCAACATTAAAAAAAAAAATCTTCTTCTTCTTCTTCCTCTTCCTCTTCTTCTTCTAACGATTGACGACCTACGGTGTTGCAAGGCTGTAAGTTAAAAAGGTGTTTAAGGCTTTAGATGGTTTACGATGCCAGTCCCCATCGTGACTGCTTCACCACCGCTGCAGCCATTGAGGCTACTACACTTCAATTTTCTTCTCTCGCCCGGCTGCGATGGTGGGGGGGGATTAGTGGGGGGGGGGGGGGTGTGGGTGGGTGGGAGTGGGGGTGACTACCCCCCACACACACCCACCCACCCACATCCCCACCCACTATCTCTGTCCGTCCCTCCACATAGCACGAGTTCTTTCTTAAACATTTCCGCGGAAGCCCCAAATGCCAACACCCCTAGACGTCATCACGCCGCCTGTGCCAGGCTAGGTGCGCTTTTAGACAACCACGTGAAGTGTCGAAGTCTCGCTGCCAGGAGGTCACGGGAACAGACCCAGCAGGTGCCGTGGGTTGACTGACTGAGATGACTGGGCAGATGCACCACCTGTATCTCCCGCTGTGCCAGGCTAGGTGCAGGAGGTCACATGACAGATCCAGCAGGTGCCGTGGGTTGACTGACTGAGATGACTGGGCATATGCAGCAGCTGTGTGCTGCTCCCCACTGTGCCAGGCTAGGTGCGGGAGGTCACGGGACAGATCCAGCAGGTTCCATGGATTGGCTGACTGGGATCACTGGTAGATGCATCACCTGTATCTCCCGCTGTGGCAGGCTAGGTGCGGGAGGTCACGGGGACAGATCCAGCAGATTGGCTGACTGAGACGACTGGTACCATCTGTACCCCCTACTTGTGCCCCCTCGCACACACAGCCACGTATTCGCGTCTCTCTGTGGATACCAAAATATACAACACGATTCATATTATCGGAACGTATATATTATGTTTTTTATGCAGCTAAAAGGTACTTTTTTGGAGGGCCATTTAGATCTTAGTTGGAAACTAAACTGAATATATATTTTTTTACCTTCACCAAGTAAGACCCCCCCCCCCCCCCAAGTAAGACTCATTTTCGCAGACGTCAAGTAGCTCCGCTTCCCGACAATATTGTATATCATGCTGCAGCAAGGAATCCCATGAGCTATGAAGCTCAAGTTTTATTGTTTGCCAGCTAAGGTTCGCTGAGCTGCTGTGTAGCTCGCTGTTTTTTTTTTATTCAATTCACATGAGCGACACTGGCCATCAAAGAACGGCAGCTTCTCAACGAAGTGC